TTTTTTTAGATTTTATTTATTTATTCATGAGAGACACAGAGACAGAGAGAGGCAGAGACACAGGCAGAGGGAGAAGCAGGCTCCTTGCAGGGAGCCCGATGTGGGACTTGATCCCGGGTCTCCAGGATCACGCCCTGGGCTGAAGGCGGCGCTACCGCTGAGCCACCCGGGCTGCCTATTCAGTTTGTTTCCTAATTAAGAAACACCATAAGTCTTATAGTTTGCCTCCCTCTCTGATTTCATCTTGTTTATTTTTCCCTCCCTTTCCCTATGATCTTCTGTTTTTTTTTTCTTAAATTCCACATATGAGTGAAATCATGTGATAATTGGCTTCTCTGACTGACTTCTTTTACTTAGCATAATACCCTCTAGTTCCATCCACATCCTTGCAAATGGCAGGATTCATTTTTTGATGTCTGAGTAATATTCCATTGTGTATATATACCACCTCTTCTTTAGCCATTCCTCAGTCGATGGACATCTGAGCTCTGTCCATAGTTTGGCTATTGTGGACATGGCTGCCATAACCACTAGGGTGCAGGTGCCCCTTCGGATCACTACATTTGTATCTTTGGGGTAAATACTCAGTAGTGCAATTGCTAGGTTATAGGGTAGCTCTGTTTTCAACTTTTTGAGGAACCTCCATACTGTTTTCCTGAGTAGCTGCACCACCCTGCATTCCCACCAACAGTGGAAGAGGGCTCCCCTCTCTGCATCCTTGCCAACATCTGTCATTTCCTGACTTGTTAACTTTAGCCATTCTGACTACTGCTGTGAGGCAGTATCTCATTGGGGTTTTGACATGTAGTTCCCTGATGCTGAGTGATGTTCAACATTTTCTTCACGTGTCTCTTAGCCATTTGTATGTCTTCTTTGGAGAAATGTCCGTTCGTGGCTTCTGCCCATTTCTTGTTTGGATTATTTGTTCTTTGGGTGTTGAGTTTGGTAAGTGTCTTAGAGATTTTGGATACTAGCCCTTTATCTGATAAGACTTTGCAAATATCTTCTCCCATTCCATAGGTAGCCTTTTAGTTGTGTTGACTGTTTTCTTTGCTGTGCAAAAGTTTTTTATCCCGGTCAAGTCCCAATTGTTCATTTACGCCTCTGTTTCCCTTGGCTTTGGAGATGTGTAGAGCAAGGAGTAGGAGTGGCCGAGGTCATAGAAGTTGCTGCCTGCATTCTCCTCTAGGATTTATCTATCTATCTATCTATCTATCTATCTATCTATCTATCTATTTATTTATTTAAAAGATTTTATTTATTTATTCATGAGAGACATAGAGAAAGAGAGAGGGATGCAGAGACACAGGCAGAGGGAGAAGCAGGCTCCACGCAGGGAGCCCGACATGGGGCTCGATTCCCGGTCTCCAGGATCAGGCCCTGGGCTGAAGGCAGCGCTAAACCGCTGAGCCACCAGGGCTGCCTCCTCCTCTAGGATTTAGATGGATTCCTGACGTTTAGGTCTTTCATCCATTTTGAGTCTATTTTTGTGTAGGGTATAAGAAAATGGCTCAGTTTCATTCTTCTGCATGTGGCTGTCCTATTTTCCCAAAGCCATTTGTTGAAGAGACTGTCTTTTTTCCATTGGATATTCTTTCCTACTTCGTCAAAAATTAGTTGACCATAGAGTTGAGAGTCCAGTTCTGGGTTCTCTATTCTGGTTCATTGATCTATGCATCTGTTTTCGTGCCAGTTCCATACTGTCTTGATGATTACAACTTTGTGATCCAGCTTGAAGTCCGGAATTGTGATGCCTTCTGCTTTGGTTTTCTCTCTCAACATTGTTTTGGCTATTTGGGGTCTTTGTTGGTTCCATACAAATTTTAGGATTATTTGTTCCAGCTCTGTGAAAAAAGTTGATGGTATTTTGATAGGGATTGCATTGAATATATAGATTGCTCTGAGTAGCATAGACATTTTAACAATATTTCTTCTTCCAATCCATGAGCATGGAATGTTTTCCATTTCTTTGTGTTTTCCTCAAGTTCTTTCATGAGTGTTCTATTGTTTTCTGAATATAGATCTTTTACCTCTTTGATTAGGTTTATTGCCAGGTATCTTATGGTTTTTGATGCAGTTGTGAATTAAATCAATTCCTTAATTTCTCTTTCTTCTGTCTCATTGTTAGTGTATAGAAATGCAACAGACTTCTGTGCATTCATTTTATATCATGAGACTTGGCTGAATTCCTGTATTGGTTCTAGCAATGTTTTGGGGGATCTTTTAGGTTTCTACATAGAGTATCTTGTGAGAGTTAAAGTTTGTCTTCTTCTTTGCTGATTTGGATTTTTTTTTTTTTCTTTTTGGTGTCTTATTGTGAGGCAAGGACTTCCAGCATTATGTTAAACAACGGTGGTGAGGGTGGACATCCCTGTTGTGTCCTGACCTTCGGAGAAAAGCTCTGTTTTTCCCCATTGAAAATCATACTCATTGTGAGTCTTTCATATATGGCTTTTATGATATTGATATATGTTCTTTCTATCCATACATGGCAGAGAATTTTTATCAAGAGAGAATGCATATTTTGTCAATGCTTTTTTTGCATCTATTGAGAAGATCATATGGTTCTTGTCCTTTCTTTCATTAATGTTATATATCACATGATTCGTTGGTGAATGTTGAAGCACCCTTGCAGCCCAGGAAAAAAATCTTACTTGGTGTGCTTATAGCAGCAATGTCCACAATTGCCAAAATATGGAAAAAGCCTTGGTGTCCATTGATGGATGAATGGATAAGAAGAGGTGGTATATATACACAATGGAATATTACCCAGCCATCAAAAAGATGACACCTTGCCATTTGCAATGATGTGGATTGAACTAGAGGGTATTACACTAAGCAAAATAAGTCAGTCAGAGAAAGACAAATATCATATGATTTCACTCATACTTGGAATTTAAGAAACAAAACAGTTGAACATAGGGGAAGGAAAGGAAAAATAAAATAAGATGAAAACAGAGAGGGAGGCAAACCACAAGAGACTCTTAATCATAGGAAACAAACTAAGGATTGCTGGAGGGGAGGTGGGTGGGGGCATGGGACAATTTGGTGATGGGCATTAAGGAGGGCCTTTGATATAATGAGCACTAGGCGTTATATGTAACTGATGAATCACTAAATTCTTCCCTTGAGCCAAAACAAAACAAAACCTGGGCAGCTTCCTTGTTCAAACTCTTTTATTTGTGGGCAAATAGCTTCCTTTTGCAAATTTAAAAAAATGACCATGCCAACACATTGTAAGAGCCCCTTCAAGGGCCATGGGAGGAGTCAGTGCAAAGAAGGTTTTCTGAAGCTGAAGCTTCATTAGCTTCTTAGAAACCCACCTGTGGTAAAAGGTCATATTTAACCTTGGCAGTCAGATTGTCATTAATGTCAGTTTTTGCCACCAAGGTTTGGTCTTACGTTGTAGTTCCCTCATGTCCAGAGAAGAAACTTCTGATAATGGAACAGCTATTATGACATTACAAAAATTGTTGAATACATCATGCTATCCTCCTAGATCAAAAAATTTTTTCATCAAAAAGCCAGAGGAGAGTAGCTCGCCTGGGTGGCTCAGCGATTTAGCGCCACCTTCAGCCCAGGTCATGATCCTGGAGTCCCAGGATCGAGGCCCACGTCGGGCTCCCTGCATGGAGCCTGCTTCTCCCTCTGCCTGTGTTTGCCTTTCTCTCTCCCTCTCTGTGTGTGTCTCTCATGGATAAATAAATAAAATCTTAAAAAAAACAAACAAACCAAATTTAGAAAAAAAAAAAAGCCAGAGGAATCTTGGGGTAGATTGCAACAAAACAACACCCTACCCAGGATATAGATCTTAAACCCTTCCCCACTTCAGGAGTAGATCCTTGGCTTGCCCCTCCCCTCACTGCACTATTGTGCTGCCTGTACCAACTTTTACCATCCCAACATCAGAATAACTCCAGCCCCAATATGAGGTGTGGAGACTCAACACTAAGAAAGATCTCATTTCTTTGTAGAGATGGATCAGTGGACAAGGGCTTGGATGAGACCCATGGCTCACCTCTCCCAAGTCCTTAGCAGACTACATTCTCCCCCACAGCTCGAGGCAAGCTTGCTATACACTTACTTGATATGCAGAAGTAATTAGGACTGAACTGATCACTACTAGGATGATCCATAGCCTTTTCAGGATGGATGAAGACTGGTTGGCAATTGGAACAGTTATTGATGGTGCTAAAAACAAACAAAAAATAGAAGCCCTGTCAAACCTAAAAAAAAAAAAAAAAGCAACAACAACACTGTCCTGATAATTGCCAGAGGGAATGATTTCCAGGTAAAGGGAATTAAGTATCCACTTATTCTGATGAGTGCTGAGTAATGCATAGAATTATTGAATCATTATATTGTATTGTGAAATTAATATATACTGTAAGTTAATTATATTGTAATAAAAACAAATAAAATACCTTCTTGAACACTTACCTTCCCTAGGCAACCTATGGCATGCCCAAATTGATTCATGCTGTGGCAGTCACTCTATCAGATCCAGGTTGTGCCCTATCCTCATGGAGCTCATATTCCTACTGAGGGATACAGCTGATGTCCACCTGGTTATCATACAGTTTTATGTGTTCACTGTGGGCAGAACTTTATAAAGGTGACAGAACTGAGGATGCTTCATTCTGTCTGGGGGAAGTTGTGAGGGCTTCCTAGGAAGTGACATTTGTGCTGGTTAAAGGATAAATAAAACAGAGGAAGAAGAGAGGGCTGGAAGCACAATGATATTTATAGGTTTAGGGACTGCCTAGCAGTGCAGGGTGACTGGATCATTGGTTAGCAGGGAAGAGAGCCCCTGAGCAGAGGGAGGGCAGACAGAAAGGAGCATAGGCAGGAGGGCCTATGGCAGTCACTGACTTTCCAGTCCACCAAGAGATCAGTCAGGCAACTGATCCATCAAACCTCCAATTACACACACATCCTCCTATCCACACAGGGAAGGCATTAGACCTATAAAGAGAGCTGCTGCAACCTTCTTACCGTGCTCATTTAGGCTCCAGCATTTTCTCCCAATGTTCTAAGAATTCCTGAAGCCATTGATTGCAGTCTCCCATTGAGATCCTCCTGAAATAATCTGCCATTCCCTTACTCTCCCACTCCTCCTTGATACCTCTGGCTCCAGGATTCACGACTGTTCAGCTTATTTTCATTGCATCAAAGAAGAGGGTCATTTGTCTGCTGATATTGAAGTGCTAGGACGCAGCAGTGCATCATTCCGCTTCACGCTGACAAGACAGCAGTTTGTGCGGTGTGGGAGGACCTGCAATCCACACACAGTCATTGGCTTGGACTCTTTGAGCTCCCTGATCTCCCAGTAGGTCCAGCGTGTCTCAGAGGTGGGACCTATGTTGAGGTTTTGTACATGAGCCCCTTCCCTGCATGTGCTGTGCTCTTTTCCTCTCTTGCTGACTGCCTCCATCTCCCCAGCCCCTTCCTCTACTTACCCTTGGTCATGTTGTTCTCCAGTCTGATGTCAGGCAGGATCATCCTGAGCTCTTGCCCCACATCTGCCACCATCTGGGTCAATTCTGTCCATGCTTTGGTGGCATTTACCTTCTTCCCCAGGAGACCCAAAGGTCTGACCTTGCTGCTATCACTGTCATACTGAAGGAAAGGCTTTTTATCCACTGAGCCCTGCACTTCATACCAAGGGTGTTCAGGTCTGGCCTGAGATTTGAGGGTGAAGTTGAGGCAGAGAGAATGAGCATCTGTGAAAGAAAAAGGCAACTGGGGTCCCAAGACTCTCTGAAAGGCCTACTGCAGAGAAAGGGGTCTCCATCCCAGCACGCTCCATCTTCTGCATCCTTAGTCCCCATCTCTTATGGCTGAGCTTCAGTAAAGCACTTTGATACTACCTGCCATAGAGCCCTCGAAGGGCACATACTGTTACCAGAAGGATATATGTGACAAATACTTTAAGTGACATCTGCCAAGTTCTTAGGTAGAGAAACTACAAGGCACTGTCTGCCCTCCTGGGACTTGAAATCTAGCTAACAGAGAGGACTTTCAACAGAAAGGGGGGAAAAAAGACAGTATAGGATGCATGCCAGATTCATGATGGTTCCTGGGTAACCTGAAGAGGCTTTCTGGAGTAGAAGGTGGGAACTGGCAGGAGACAGAGAGCTGCCCTATGGGAGGAGCACAGTACAGGCAGAGTGCCTTAGGCTGGGGTCCCTGTCCTTAAGAGCACAAGGATAGAGGCGGCTTCTTTCAAGCGGCCGCAGGTTAGCTGCATATGTTGAAGGACACAACCAGTGGAATTGCTACCTTTTGCAAGATTGAAACCATGGCAGGTCCAGAAACTGATGCCCAATTCCATTTTACTAGCATCAAAAAATATTTCAACTCTTATACTCTCACAGGTAGAATGAATTGTGTATTGGCCACATAAGGAGGCATTGCTTTGAAGATTTTATACTTCAAATTAAGGTCTAAAAAAACACCAGCTGTGAAAGCAACATAAATGGACTTTAACTTGGACCTCATCTGTTAAGTTCCCATGCTTGGAGATGCTAATGTCAACTCATCATGTGATACTCAATTTGTACAATAAATTATGAACCTGGAAAAAAAAAAGAGCACAAGGATAGCTTGGCACTTGCCTGAGACATGGGGAAGCCCCATGTCTTCCTCCCCTTTCTTATCTCCCCAGCCAGGTCCCCAGATCCCAGGATACTCACAGTCTTTCAGGCTTGTGCCAGTGGCAGCAATGACAAAAGACCTGCAATGTAAGATACTGGCCACATTCCTGATGAGCACACCCTTGGAGAGTAAGAGGCAGGAAGTGGCTGTGGGGCAGGTACCTCCCAAAGTCATCACATCAACATGGTTGATGGCTCTGCTGGAATCAGACAGGAGCAAGGGGTGCTGAGGGAAAGTTTTGTACATGGTCAAAATATGATTACTCATTAAAAAAAAGAAAAGAAAAGAAAAGACATCACAAAGCAAAGTTCACCACTCTCCTCAAAACCCCGTCCAGTGTGAGTGCGACTGTTGACGATAAAGTGAGTTCCTTTCCTCTCCACCGGTCACCCCCCTACCCCCCACTCCCATCACCAACTTCCTATTCCTGTCTTCCTACTGCCTCTTCTCCTCTCCCTGATTTTCCCATCTCCTCCTCCATCTCCCCACATTTTCTTCCCTCTCCCCTCTCCCACCTCTTCCTTGTCTACTGGATCTCTTCCCTCATAACTGATAGAGATTCACTTTCACCAAGTGCTCACTGGTTAATTGAAGTAGCTGGAGACACATAGCACCTGGTCTATCATCAAAGATGAGTTGACAATCAAGTCCAAAATCCCCTGGGAGCCAAGACTTATGGACCCAAGAAAAGCCAAGTAGTTCATCATTAGAAAAAGTCTTAGGGCTCTGGCTTTGGAGTGTGAAAATTAGTCTAAGAACAAAGATTTGGTGTCACTTTGAAATTTCTCATGTCATTTTTCTCTTGAAAGTTCCTCTTAATTAAAAGACTCGATGTTTTTAAGCCCATTTCCCCCCTCACTTTTACAGCTGTCCCACCTATTCCATCCAATGATCTTAGCCAGCTTGGGCTGCTATAACAGAATAGCATGTGCCAGGTGACTTAGAAAGTAAATATCTATTTCTCAGTTCTGGAGGCTGGGGAGTCTAAGATCAAAAGGCCAGAAGATCTGGAGTCTAGTGAGGACCCCTTCCCAGCTTGCACACAGCAGTTTTCTCCTTGTGTCTTCACCTGACAGAGAGAGGCAGGCTACAACAAGCAATTCTGAGTGTCTTTAAAGCCTATAGAGGCTCCACCGTCATATCCCAATTACTTCCAAAAGACTCCCATTCTATTACCTTCATGTTGGGAATTTCAACATGAATTTTGGAGGGACAAATTCAGTCCATAATATCATCTGTCCATCACATTTAAGTTCTCACTATGTGCCTGGCATTCTGCTGGCTATTTAAAATGCAAGTCACATCCATTTGGTGATAAATTGTGAGTCAGATTATAGGGCTTTCCTGATATCTATTAAGTGGGTCTGCATTACTGGCCTTCTTTTATCCAGATCAAACATGTTAGAGTAGGCAGTTAATTTTTAACCAAATAGCTGGAGGTCACCAATGAGGAAATCGGGGCAACTCTTAGAAATGTAAGAAGCCTGCCTGGTGGCACTTCACAAGAAGCTGAAGTCAAATCAAACCAGCCAGGCTCAAGATGGTGGTGCCAAGACAAGGAACCCCTGACCAAACAAGAAGAAAAAGCAGGAAATCCCTACACCAAGTAATAAATATTCCACCTCTAGTTAACAACTGTCAACCCCTGTGGATGCACACACTCTCTCTCTCACCTGCTCTCACATTTCAAGAGTATCACTTTAATAGCCTTTCCTGCTTATGTCACTCATCCCGTGTGTTGCATGTCTATCCTTGATTTCTTTCTCAGGACAAGACCAAGAACCTTCAGTGACTCCTTGGGATGGTCTGGGTTGAGGCCCCAGGGCCCAGGGTCTCCCTAAATCAACCAGCAACAAACAAACTTCAAAGAAAGTAACCATAGACTATGTGCAGGATTTTCTCTCTGGGAAAAGGGGGCTGTTTGCCCAGAGGAATCAGGGTTGGTGTGTCTGAAGGGGCTGGTAATTACATCCGATGTTCCCTGGCAAGTGAAGTTGGATAACCTCCATCTGAGAACATGTTTCTACCCCCTGTCCTGGCAGAAGGATCACAGATTCCTGTAAAGCCCGTTCTTTTTTTTTTTTTTTTAAGATTTTATTTATTTATTCATGAGAATACACAGAGAGGAGAGAGAAAGGCAGAGACACAGGCAGAGGGAGAAGCAGGCTCCATGCAGGGAGCCTGATGTGGGACTCGATCCTGGGTCTCCAGGATCACGCCCTGAGCTGTAAGCGGCGCTAAACCGCTGAGCCACCGGGGCTGCCCTAGAGCCCGTTCCGTGTATACCTTGCTGCCTGTGGGCAGGGAGGGTGACAGCTGCTAGTACTTCTAGAGTGGCAGGTCCATGAATAGAGTATGTGTGACACTGACAACATTAGCTTCTTTCAGGGGCCAGTATTTTCCACAAGCCACTGAGTAAATGTGTTTGAGGTCCCAAATCTAAGCCTAAGCTGGAGGTAGTACCTTGAATCCACACGAAGACGTAAACAGCACTGGTGAAGGCAGCTACATGGTAAAGAGACAGACACTACAAATTTACTCTTTTTGTAATCAATTATTTTCTATTGATTTTTGGAAAAATTGAGACGTACCCGACATATAACATTGTATTAATTTCAGTTTACAACATAATGATTTGATGTCTGTAAATTTGCTACCTGATTTAAAAGACAATTGCCTAAGCACCAATGATAAACCTGTTTGGTTTAAAATGTATGTGGGTTTAAAATGTATAGAGAAATAATCTGTATAAGAGTAATGGCACAAAGGGGGAGGAAGTCAAATGATAATGGTGCAATGTTGGTGTTATTCTGAACTAGATTGGTTTAGGTGGACTCGCTAATTGTAATCCCCAGGGCAACTAGTTAAGAAAAAGAAAAAAGAATAGAGGAAAAGAAACAGCAAGGGGATAGGAAATAGTTAAGAGACAAGTGGTTTATTGGGCATGGACCCTGTAGAATATAAAAGATGAGGGAACTAGAATTGTCCAAGGAAAAACTGTAGATCATTATGCAGGTTTGGATACAGTGTTCAGAAGGGAAACTCTAAAACAGAAAAGACTAAGTCAGAAGGAGCAGATCACCTTCCATGCCTATCTAGCAATGTTCCCTACCGGCTCCTCATCCATAATGGTTTCCATCCATAATGGTTTCCACACTTCACCCATGAACCTCCATAGTCACAGGCACAGAGGCCTATGCCCCCACACATGTACCCCTCATCTCACACCATCACCCACACTGACTCCATCTCCATAGTCTGAGGACCTAAAGGAGGGTTCCCATTTCTCCACATCCTCCTCCACATGCTCCACATCAGTGTCTTGTCTCTTGATGCTAGCCATCCTAGTAGATGTGAAGTGATATCTCTTTGTGGTTTTGATTTGCATTTCCTTGGTGTCTCACCATACTAAGGAACTTTTCGTGTGCTTATTGTCCATTTGTATACTGTTTTGGAGAAATGCACCTCCAATCCTTGTCCTATTTTTAAACTGGGTTATTACCTCCGATTATTCCATGTAAGAATTCTTTATATATTCTGGATACCAGCCTTACCAGATATACTATTTGCAATTATTTTCTCTCAGCCTGTAGGTTGTCTTTTTTACTTTCTTGATGGTGTCTTTGAAGCACAAATATTTTAAATTTTGAGAAAGTCAAATTAACCTTTTGTTGTTGTTACTTGTGCTATTGGTATATTTAAGAAGGTTTTTCCAAACAAGTTCACAAAGACTTACTTCTATGTTTTCTTCTAATGCTTTTATAGTTTTGTCATATGTATATATATATGTATATACACATATATATGTGTATATGTGTGTATATATGTGCACACACATATATGTGTATATATGTATATATGTGTATATATACATATATGTATGGAATATATATGTATATATACATATATATACAAATAGCTGTATATGTATATATATTCATATATATACACACACAGTTCGGGTTTTATATATATATGTATATATACGTATATATACACACACACACAGTTTGGGTTAATTTTTTGTGTATGGTGTGAAGGGTAGTAGAATATGGTATCCTCAGATATATTGCTTTGACATATAGATTATTTTGAGCCGAAGCATTTGAGAAACAGCTAATGCAGGGAAAGGCTGTCTCTGAGCACACCTCCACATCCAGTTTGTCTAAAGACAGATACTCCAAAAGGAACTCAGATGTTAACAATCTCCTGGTATCCAG